GATGACTCAAAAACTTGTCACAAAAAATTCAGAGAATACTAACTAGCAAGTGTACTATGTAGTTATAGTAAGTAATAAAATTTAGAAATCAATATAAGTCTCAAGTATCGTCCTCAGGGATTAGTACTTCACAAATCAATAATTAGTTGAGCCAAACGAATTTGGAGTGTTTTGAATCATTTAACAAAGAAAAGCAATAAAGTGTAGAAATCAGAAAATTATAGCAAAATAGAGTGACGAATTTGGTAGTGGAATGATATGTAAATGAAGTTAGGAATGATTTCACCTCTTTATCAATTGTAAAACTGAATGAGATATGAACTCTAAGTTCCTTAATTGATTGATGATCATTTTTACTTATTTAATCAAAGGACAATTCTTTACCTCATTGATCCTAATATCTAACTAAACTACCTTAATTCCTTATGTATTTTTCAGTCAAACATTGCATTAAGTATTAGAAATTAAGAGATCAAAAGATCACAATTTCTTATCCTTAAGATATCCATAACCTTGATCTTCAATTCAGATATGAGAAATTAACTCAACTTCTATTGATAAAAATCCTCTAGGTTCAAAAACTTCCATTGATAAAAATCCTCTAGGTTCAATTCAATTGAATAACTAATTCAAGAATTGCATTAAGGAAATGATTAAACGTTCAATACAATCAAGATCTTAAAATCCAAATCTATAATCAATTTACAATATCAAAATCTGATCCATTAATCCTTAACAAAAAGAAATCAGAACATGCTCTTAAAAGAAAAAGAGAAAGAAAAAGTGAAAGAAGAGGAGTTGCATAATTTCTTCATAAATCTAATCCCTAGCCTGATTCCTCAAGGTCCAGAGCTTGATAGTCGTCTCAATCTCCCTCTCTAACCCTTCTAAGATGTAGAAATGAAAAATGAGAAAAGATCCCAAGTTTCTGAGCTAAGCTCATATTTATAGATTTTCCACCTTTCTGGCATAACTACTTTTATAACATAAAGTAATCACGCAGAAGGCTTTCTGGTAGTCTTCACATATGTAGCAACCACTTTTGTTGACAATAGTAATAACACAGAGATGAATTGCCTCAAATATCATGCACATGTTCACTTTTATTCACAATAGGAGTTACGTGCAACTTGTTTTGCTGGAATGCTTTTTGAAACGATCACTTTTATTGATAAAAGTAGCAATGCAGCTTGTTCTGCCTTTTGATCATGCACGTGATCACTTTTCTCAGCAATAGTGATCACGCGCAACTTATTTCTTCTACCCAGACTTGTGCATGTTCATTTTTCTTCAAAATAATGATCACGCCCAGCTGATTCCTTTTACCTCAATTCTGGAACAATCATTATTATTTGTAATAGTAATAACACAGAGCCTTTCTTCATGGGCGTGGTTACTATTGTTGAAAAAAGTGTTAACGCACAGATTACCCTTTGAACTTAAGCTCTGGAGTAATCACTTTCCTTGCAAAAAGTGGTAACACCCAACACTTAGCTTCATTATTCTTTGCTCTTTGTAAGCTCAAATCTTCTACTTTCTTCTATTTTCTCTTCTTCAATCTTTATTCTTAAGACTCTTAGCTTAGAATCTCTTGTAAAACTAACAAAATTACATCAGAATTCTATTAAATTCACATAATTTGAATTACTAAAGACAATAATTTACTTTATTAAATATTTATATATTTTTGTGCAATTTTTATTTTCCAAATTACATTTTCTATAAAAAATAACTTAGAAAACTACTTAAAAACCTAATAAAATATGCATTTATCAATGACTAAAAACTCTTTAAGGTAATCCACCACGTGCAATGAAAGAGAATTGGAGACATGGACGATGAGAGTAAGTGTGATGACTTTTTGGAGACATGGACGATGAGAATAAATGTGATGACTTTTTGTTCGATAAAAATAAAATAGAGAAAAACTTAAAAAGAAACTTAGAAAAAGTTATTAAAATACAGAAATAAATAATGTTGTTAAGAATTTGATTTCTAACCAAGTTTAATAACATTGTGTGATCTATGTAGTCGATCTCAACCAATGAAATAAAATTTAGTAATTGTTGTAAATTTATAAAATTTATTAATTTTAAAAATAATAAATAATATAACTTTAATGTTTTATTTTAAAAATATTTTAATTTAATAATACTCTTATACTACACAAAAAATGTTTTAGTTACTTATTAATTATTTTATTTACTTTTATGCTTATAAAATTTTAAATAATAAATATTTTATTTCATCTTTTTTTTATTTTATATTTTTTGGTCAAATCGTAATAGGGATGACAATGAGTAGGGTATGGATAAGGTACTATAATACACATCTCTATATCCGCGTTTTAAAAAAATACTTGTATCTAGTCCCCTTACCCATGTGAGTAGTACTTTTAATTCTTGTACCCTATGGGTACCCATCCTTATTACTCGTGCTTGTCTAAGAAAAAAGCACTTAAAAAAAATATGCTTATATAATTTTATTGAACAAAGTTCAAGCATAGATAGAAAATAAATATTCAAAGATCATAAGTGCTAAGTGTATCTTAATACATCAACTTTTTAAACTAAAGTACTTAAAAATTATAAGAAAAATTGCACACATAATCTTTTAAAACAATCCACTCATAAACTTGAGAGTCCTCAACTGTCACTCTGCAAGACCTAAAAAAAAAGAACGTTAGTTAATTATTTATTGTAAAGTTAAAATAATAGATATAGTTAGGTTATTTTACTTCTTCATCAGAATTAGACTCTCCAAATGACTGCAAACATTTATCTTTCTGTTTACATATTGCTTTGGTCTAACAATACCAATAGAAACTAAAATATACAAGTACATAATAAGAAAATCAATAATTAAGCTATCAAATTAAAATTAACAAGAACATTTAATTAAATAAATATATTACTAGAGTATTCAATACTTTCATTTTCATGTTTCAGCCAACTTTGTGTACACATGAGTGCTTCCAAAGTATCCTTGTGAAGTCGAGAAGGATGAGGACTCAACAATCTACCACATGTGCTAAAAGTAGACTCTGAAGCAATGGTTGAAATTGCGATGGCCAAAATATCCTCGACAAATTTTTTGCAATATTGGATATTTGATCCCATTTGATTTCCACTATCCAAGGATATCAAAATTAGCAATTTTAGACAATACATTCTCTTCCAAGTAGATATCCAACTCAAGCTTTGATTGCATATCATTTGTATAATTAACAAATGAATCATAATCACTTAGAAAATTTTTAACATTAAGCATATCCAAATTCATTTCCATCTCATTAAATTTGCACGTTTTTTTAAAATTAAAAAAGCAAAAAAGTTAAGATTCAAACACAAGGAAGCTTAATTTTGAAACACTATGCGCTTGAATCTTAATTTTTTATTTTTTTTTAAATAAATGCTAATGTAAATTCATGAAGTGAAAATGTAAGGGTGAGGTGGAAGAGAGAAATTGGGGTTGACGTGATAAACTGTGAGCAACATTATCATTTAATTGACGGAGGTTTTACAAAATTGAAAAAAAAATTAGTTAAGTATTAAAATGAAAAAATAATTAATAGGTAGTAATTTAAAATAAGCTCTATTTAGAGGTAGTTAAAATATATTTAAGCCTAAAATAAAATAAATATGACCTATAAAAGAACTCTGAACTGAGTAAAAAATATAAGACATGAAATTATATGAAATAAATAGTGAAATCTTTATTTTAACCAAAATTTTACAAAAACATTCACAAAAAAATTCTAAAAAATAAAAGTAGGTTAGTTTCTTATTTTTTTTAAATTCTTAATTGCTCCATCGTAAGTAAACAATTATTTAAACGAGACTGTATGAAATTAAAATAATTAAAATAATTAAAAATACTAATAATTATTATAATAGAGTTTCAAGTTTACTTGTTAAAGACTTGCGTTTATCTCTGAATTCTAAAAGAAGTGATATGTTAGATCTTTCTCTGTATTTTGACTAAAATCTTTATTTTGACTAAAATTTTACAAAAACATCCAAAAAAAAATTCTAAAAAATAAAAGTAGGTTAGGTTTTTGTTTTCTTAAATTCTTAGTTGTTTCATTATAAGTAAATAAATTGTTTAAACAAGATTATATGAAATTAAAATAATAAAAATAATTAAAAATACTAACAATAATTATGATAGAGTTTTAGGCTTATTTGTTAAAGACTTACATTTGTATGAAAATTTTGTACTTAATCTCTGAATTCTAAAAGAAGTGATAGGTTAGATCTTTTTCTATAAGTTACACTCTTAAGGATAAATTGTGAAGCATCTCATATGATTATAGAAGGGACTTAACCAAATATATAAAGTATTAACTTTAATTCTCTTCTATCATGAACTTTTGGGTTAAATTCTCCTTCATATAAGTAGTATAATTAATAATAATAATAATAATAATAATAATAATAATATATGCCAGCATGGGGTAGAATAGATACTTAGGTATCTATACCTGCACCCATTTATATTAAAATTTGCGACATTTTTTCATACTTATATCTGTTTAGTAAATAAATACTCTACTTGGGGAGAGTAAAATTTGTGAATACCCATAACTACGCTAGCCATTGGAATCCCTGCATCTTAGAAGGGCACTGGTTATGACTAACTTGAGGATTTTTTTTTTCTGATTTTTTTCAAAACTAGAGACAACACTTTCCATAAAAATCCTTTTTAGCTTCTTTCTAGCAAAATTTTTATCATTGATTTCATAGGGAATGGCTAAAATTGATTAATAAAAAAATAGAATTAGGCAACAGAAACTAAATTAGACAAAGTTACTTATAATAGATAATAAAAAAAAATTAATTTACTTCTCTTAATAGTTTTTTTTATGAAACTTTTTATTTAGTAATATATCTGATTTAATATTTTAGTTTATCTTTTTTTTTTTTCCAGTACCAAAAAATGTAACATGTAATTAGTTATGTTTATTCATATAAAATAGCTGGAGGGTTAGCTGGAGAGGAATGGTTGAAAATGGGTGCAATTGACTACAGCGATCGATTTGCATAGGTGATAGAGACACAGATAGTGTTCTGAGATTGAGAGGCATACACGATGATGAAGCTTTTCGATGCACACTGTCACCTGCAGGACCCAAGAATCATTAGCAAGGCACCACAACTCATAAAAACTGCACAAGACACTGGGGTTGTGGGTTTCGCCGTGAATGGAGTTTGCGAACAAGATTGGCACTTGGTGCAGAACTTGGCTCAAACCCACCCTTGTGTCATTCCTTGCTTCGGTCTTCACCCCTGGTCAGTGTCACTTTTCATCTTATTCTTATCCAATCCCAATTGTTTTTTATTTTTTATTTCTGGGTTTGCTCAATTGGGATTCTATTTAAAGGTTTTGGGCCTTAATTTGTGAAATTGCAGGTTCGTTGCAGAAAGAAGTCCCAATTGGTTTAAAACGTTGAGAGAATTTTTTGATTCCACACCCTCTGCTGCAGTTGGAGAGGTAATTGTATATTATATATAGTATATAGTTCTATTTGTATGCAGGCGAAGTGTTGCATGAAAATCGAAAAAATAGGACCCCCCCCCACTTTTTTATTATTTTTTCCTTTTTCTAATATTTTAATGTAAGCTAATATTGACACATGCTGAAAGTAAAAGAGTTGTTTTTCAATTGGTCCATTCCATGTAATTTTATTCCACTTTTCATATTGATATTTTCTTCTTTGCTGTTTTCTTTGTATTGATTTTGTGAACCATCCGATCTCAAAGATACTTCATCACTGGTGTCACAAATGGTAACATCACTTGCTTTGAATATGAAAGTAAGGAGTGTACATTGGATGGAGGGTAGTCCAATCACTATAGGCAGAGGGAAACTGAGAAAGTTATAGATGAAACAATTAAGCAGGATGTAAAGGTTAATAGTTTGTTTAGAGGCATGATTTATGACAAAATCTTGATCTTATCAAGTAGGAAGGGGAAGTACTTGGTTGTTGCTGCTTTGAATTTGAAAATCTAATAAAGGACAAAAATAAAATAATAGTAGTCCACAGAGCAATCTACCAAGTAACTAGGTTTTGTTTTTCTGGCAGAGAATAAGTTCTATTTTCATTTTTAAGCAAAGCCTGCTGAGACTTTTGGCTCATGCCAAGTTTCTAATTTTTATGCACATACACAGTTGCTGCGTTCCTCTCTGAAATCCAGTGGGGTATCAAAATTTGTGTAGGCAGCCTCAATGCTTGTACGTGCAAATATGCTAAATCATCTATTATTAATTAATTCATAGATGAAAGAAATCTTATGCTCTTGTTTGCATGCATCTTTAATTTAGCATTTGATGTGATTGAACTTTTGAATTTTCCTCAGATTGGCTTGGACAAAGGATCACATGGAAGGAAGATTGATTTTTCTGAGCAGGTTTTAGCTTGTCATTTTACTTATGGCTGTACAGTTTATTTTTCTGCTAGACGGAGCAATCAGTAGATGCACCTGTTGATCTTTCTATTGTTCATACGTGTATATCTGCAATTTTGCATGTAATAAGATCTGTTCTGTTCCCCATGGAAACTGTAAAAATGCAATGCAATATCCAGATAGGCAGATGCACAATTTTGCATTCTGTTTCAGGAAAACTGAGTGTATATGTGTTGTTTTATCAAACATCATATGACAGGAGGAGGTTGAATCAATAGCAATAGTAGATACACTCTGATCTTTGTCTCTTTGCTAGACAGATTTATGCTCTATGCTCTGGTCCTTCTTTTTCCCCATGATCAAATATCCTTGTCATTGGTGCTATGAATCCTCAGAATTTTGATCAGGTTGCTAAATGGACCTATAGTTACTGTGATGGATCAAAAGAGAGGGGTTATTTGACAGTGCAGTAGAGCTTGAGAATATTTATAATATATTGCGGTTGAATTATTTGAGGTGCCATTTGATACATCTTGAATTCCACTGGTGAGTAGTATGATATTGACTAAGTTATTTAAGAGTTTGTTGTAAAAATTTCTATCATATTTTGAGGTGTATCTTGTAAAGAGCTTTTACTCAAAAGATAAATTTGATTCCCATTTCCCACTTTAAGCAAAAGGCAGTCTGAATAAAAGTTCTCTTCAGATAGAAAAATCTACTGGTATGGAGTATTTTGAAACTTATCCACTTATTGAAGTATTTAAACAGTGCAATTCAAGGTTTGAATCTCACTAGATGCACCTTGTGGTTGGAGCTAAGCTGACACCTGAGTGGGGTTGGTCCCTCACACTTTCCGGTTTGGGGGAGGGACACCTTATGATCCTGCCCAAAAAATGAAGTGCCTAAACTCTCTGCCATGTAGTGGTTAGGATTTACTGGTAGAATAATTTGGCTTATTTTGGTCCATTACTTAACCCCAAGATGGTTTTGATATCCGTTTATAGTCTTGGCTCAAGTAGGAGAACCAAAAGCACTGTGTACATGAAATATTAATTCTGCTTGAGAAACTTGCATCGAGAATAATGAATAAATTTACCAACTTTGTAAGGTGAGCTTAAAAGTTAATAACTCTGACTTTTATTGTCTATAAAGAAAGAAAATGATAGGAACTGAGATTATATTGAAATAACAGAACCAACACAGGGAAATTCCCTGAGATTACAAGCAGTAAAGATGAAAAAAGAGAGTAATGGAACAGAATACAGCAATCTAACGAGCTAGTAATTAGCAAGAGCAATCCTCCTATAGCCTCAGCTATCCCTAATGACCTCCCAGATATGTCCTGCCTCTCTCCTATGCTCCTCCCCCTATATTACCTCTTCATTAACAATGGTGCTGTCCCGACAGTAGGGAATAGCCATGGGAGGGTCCCGACCATACAATGCCTTAAAGGGGGTCATCTTGATGGAAGCATTGAACGAGGAATTAAACCAAAACTCCCTCCAAGCCTTAGGTACGGTATCCGAAACCTGAGTAGGCATTTCAGTGCAGCCCACGGTCATCATGCCCAATTCAACATAATAACCCTCTGCTTCACCCCTCAACTCCTTTCTTATAGCCTTGAGTGAGGCCACAGTTCTGGACAACTCCACATCCCCTTTGATCTCAGTGATCCTTCCATCCTTATGCACCTCGATCAAGTGCTGCCGCAGGTCAGCACTAAACTTCCCTAGGCTTTTAAGCCATTCATACCCCAGGATCACATCTACCCCTACCAAATCAAACAGAAAAAAATCTTGGATTACTTGAAGGTTTGGCAGTTCCAATACGATGCCCTTGCACACTCCGTGACTCCCCAACCTTTGACCATCTCCTACCTCAATGAAATACTCCCTTGTAGCCTCCGTTTGTATTTTCAACTCCTCTACCAGTCCCAGGGACAAGAAATTATGGGAGGCGCCATAATCAACCATTACTATGACCTTTTTACCCAGAATGGTTCCCCATAGCTTCAGAGAGTTCTTGGAGGTCATTCCTGCAATGCTACTCGCATTCAGATGGAGGTTCACCTCTTCCTCGTCGCCGTCCTCCCTGGAAGCCTCCCCTTGGTCCTCCTTGTTTTCCCCCATCACAATTACGTGGAGCTGTTTGTTGCGGCATATATGCTCAGGTAAGAATCGCTCGTCGCAACGAAAGCAAAGTCCCTTCCTTCTCTTTTCGCTCTCCTTCTCTTTGGTAAGTCTCCTGAACCCTAGACCTCTTCGGTTAGAACTCGTTGAGAACGAGTCTCGTGAATTATGACGGTTTCCTTGGGTCTCGACCAGGTTTGCATGAAGTCGGGTTGGGTTCTTGAGCCCTGATATTTGAGTGGGTTCAGTTCTTTGTAGTTTCTTGGGCTTCACCTCTTAAGGCCCAGTTTGTTTTAAATTCCGTTGACCCACCAGCTCTTCCCGTTGACCCAAACAAGAGGCCCAATATCTTATTCTTCTCCTCAACCCTTTGCGCCAATTCCATGATTGAGGAATGCGCCTACCATGAATTCCTCATCAGCAAAACGCAGCGGAGCCGAATATAGCTCGAACTGCTCCCTGTACTCGCCCACGGTACCTCGCTGCCTAAGCCCCATCAATGCTTCATAAGGATTTTCCGACGTCGATGATCGGAACTGACCCAACAACGCTTGCCAAAAAACGGGCCATGTTGACATTGGGACCCGTGGCTCCCACCATTGATACCAGTTGAGGGCTTTCCCCTCCAAGCAAACCATCGCCGTATCCACCTTTTCCACCTCCGGTATTCCGTTAATCTCAAAGTATCTCTCCGCTCGATACACCCACCCATAGGGATCCTCTCTGGCAAAATAAGGTAATTCAACTCGCCGTACTCGTTCCTCCCTTCTCCACGCATCTCCTTCTCCATTACCTCCATCTTGATGGTGATTATCCCCTTCCCTCTCCGCTCGGATGACCTGTAGAGCGGTCTCAAACCTCGTTGTCATCATCGTCAACATCTCGTCCTTTTGCCTCCGGAATTCCTCTTGAATGGAGGCTTGCATGTCCTTCAATCGACGTTCCACACTCTCCAACCGATTTTCCATGCGAGTCGTTACCATCAGGTGCTCCCAGGATTGGGAGCTCTGATACCACTTGATAGGAACTGAGATTATATTGAAATAACAGAACCAACACAGGGAAATTCCTTGAGATTACAAGCAATAAAGATGGAAAAACATAGTAATGGAACAGAATACAGTAATCTAACGAGCTAGTAATTAGCAAGAGCAATCCTCCTATAGCCTCAGCTTTCCCTAATGACCTCCCAAATATTTCCTGCCTCTCTCCGATGCTCCTCCCCCTATATTACCTCTTTCTCCCCCCGAATACTTGCCTCATCAACCTTGCCACGTATGCTGATTTGTTAGTTTGTTAGAATCTAGCATAACCGCCTCCTGGTTCCCCTTTTCCATTTTACCCCTCTTTCTTTGATATGTCTTGAATGGGGGTCCAAATGGCTTAGACCCAACAGAAAACAATAAAATAAATTACAAACAGAATTTGCACCTACTGGGAAAAAAGATGGCTAAAAATCAATTAAGATGATTTGTACATATGCAAAGAAGGTCACTGGAGGCACCGGGGAAGAGAGCGGATGACATGATTCTTAGTCCAAAGAAAAGGGGTAGAGGGAGACCTAGAAGAACTTTGGAGGAAGTTATTAAAAGGGATCTTACGGTGAATATAATATTTTGGAAGATTTGGAGCATGTTTGATTTCCATTTTGAAAACAGTTTTTAGTTTTTAAAAATAAAATGTAGTACAAATTGTTTTCAAAATGGAAATCAAACGTATTCTTGGTTTTTGACTGAATTGAGCTTAATGGCATCATGTGATTCATGTAACCAATATCATTTAGTAGGATAAGGCTTGATTGTTTTTGTAGAATTTGTTGATCCTTATTTAGTGAAGGTTTTTCTATAAAGAGGCTGACTTCTTAATGATATATTAATGGTTGGTGGCTTGGTGCCATTTATGTTTATCCTCAAGGCTTTATGACCTTAAGGACGAGCTAACTTTTGAAAATACTATGAAGCATAGCATTGAGGCATCAAAATGGGACTGACTACAATTTGTCAATGAACATATACTTTTTCTTGATGTAAAAGGTTATATTCTATAGTGAATCTGTTGGCATTCAAATTGAGTCAGATTTGGGCCTTAAGATAGAGCGGGCCTAAATATGGCTGACAGTTTTGGTTGGTGTGGGACAAAAACAGGTTAAGGCCATGAGTTTAGTAATGGGATTGGTTAGCCACAGTGAACAAGATGCTGAGTCAGCCAACCGATGTAACTATTAGGAGCACATGGCATAGTGGGGAATGTCACTTGATAGAGGTTACACCTCATGTTGAAAGCCACTACCTTCATTTGGGAGTTGCCATGGATATGTAGGAAAAGACCCAGTTTGATTTTCTTCTTGATTGTTAGAATTGTATTAACAGAGAAAGGAAAAGATTGTAAGAGGTCCGCGGCCAAGCAATTGAATTCAATTTTATACATTCTATAATTTCAGCTTCTGTATTTACATTTTGTCATTTACAACAATTCCTTTTACAGCCATTCCCTTATTGTTCTTTCTAATTATGAGTAGAATAGATTAGTAGTGATTATTTCATTCCAGGAAGCTCTTTAGAATATACTGGAAACCCACTTTCAGGAACAGAATCCCTTCCTCAAGCAATCGCCTGTGAAGGAATCAATTGAGTTGGCCAAATGGCCGAACATTTGAACCCAAACATACGTTTGGCACACCTATACTTAATTTTTGAGAGACAAACATACTACATACAAGGGTTAAAGTACAGTTCCATGTCCTTACAGTTAAAACATGACATTTCATTGACAGATTATCAAGCAGAGTTGTGGCCTTGTGGAAACCTGGATCCATTGGAAACAAAATGGGATGAAGCTTTAACTTTAATATGAAATACATTAACCCTTGTGTGCTGAATAATGTTGCCTAGACTGTTGGTTGCTAATGCATTTGGACGTCTGTGCAGGTTGAAGTATTGAGGCAACAGCTTGAACTTGCAAAAGAGTTAAATAAGCCAGCATCTGTTCACTGTGTTCGTGCTTTTGGTGACCTTCTTGAGCTAATGAGGTATGGATATCTATTCTTCTCTCTTTTGTTTCAATCATTGCTTTAAAAGATTGCTTAACAATAATGATGATATGTCAACAAATTTTTATCTGTGAAACTTCCTATCCAATGTTGAGAGGTGATTGAAAAGAGAATTTATATTTACCTAATGACACAATCTGTAGTGTACTGCTGTGGTGACAATATGTTTCTCACTATATCTCTGTTTAAACTATTGAGATCTATTGCATGAAGCAATTGTGCTTTCTCTAATAGATTAATCAGGACAAAGTATGATTTGTTATTTCGGTAGAATTTTGAATGTATGTAAGACTTCTAAATAATTGGAGTTGCTGGCCCAAACGACCAGTTATTGGATCCAAAGGATAGGCCCAAAGCATGGTGAGTGTATGTGAGAAAGAAAAAGAGTGAGAGGGTTATAGAGTCCTTAACAAAGTCACTGTACCCGATAAATTCCCTATTCTAGTTGTGGATGAGTTGTTTGATGAAGATAAGGATGAGGGAGGAGGGTGTAGCTAAAACAGCCTTTAGAACCCATGACAGCCATTACGAATATCTTGTAATGCCTTTTGGGTTGACGAACGCTCCAACAACTTTCCAAGCTACTATAAATCAAATTTTCCGAGTTCCGACCTTTCTTGCGCAGATTTGTGCTTGTATTTTTTGATGACATATTGATGTACAGCAGGATTTGTGAAACTTACTTGCAACACCTATATACTGTTCTTTAGGTGCTCAAAGTGAATCGGTTAGTTGTAAATAAGAAGTGTAGTTTTGGAAGAACTCAGGTTGAGTACCTATGACACATTTTATCTAGGAAAGGTGTCTGTTGATCGCGGTAAGGTGGAGAGTGTGATAAATTATTGGCCTAAACCAAAAAATGTGAAAGGAGTTTGGGGATTGTTGGACTTGACAGGATACTATCGGAAGTTCATTCAAGGATATGGACAGTTAGCGAAGCCATTGACAGAGCTAACCAAGGAGTCTTTTAAATGGGGTTCTGAAGCTCAGCAGGCTTTTGAAACATTAGAAAGGGCAGTTACTACAGCTCTGGTGTTGTCCCTAACTGAATTTTCACAGCCTTTTGCTGTGGATTGTGATGCTTCAGGAACTGGGCTGGGTGCAATATTAATGCAACAAGGAAAACCAGTAGCATATTTCAGCAAATCTTTGTCTAATACTCGGTTGTCCAAATCTATCTATGAGATCCTACTTATGGCTGTGGCTTTAGCATATTGATGGCATTATTTGTTGGGGCAGAAATTCATTGTATACTCTGACCAGAAAAGCTTAAAGGATCTATTGCAGCAAAGGGTGGTATCTACAGATCAACAGAATTGGTTGGCTAAATTGTTGGGTTTTCAATTTGAGGTGGTATATAAACCAGTGTTAGAAAATAAGGCTGCAGATGTGCTGTCTCGTTTGCCAACTACAGGATAATTGGCCTCCTTAATTTCATTCCTAATTTGGCAGCCAAATGCAGATTTCAAAAGAGAGGTGGATGCTGATCCTGCACTGCAGAAAATTATTTCTGACATAACTAAGGATGCTAGGAATCACCCAGGTTTTTCTATACAAAATGGAGTGCTTTTCTTTAAAGGGAGACTAGTCATTTCGGCTCAATCGACTCTCATCCCCACCTTCTTACAAGAGGTTCATTCTACAGCTACTGTAGGGCAATCTGCATATCACCTTATTAGCAGCAAATCTTTATTGGATGGGAATGAAGAAAGCTGTCATGGAGTTTGTCAAGTCCCCGTGAGATTTGTCAGAAGATGAAATTTGCAGCAACTCTTCCAAGTGGGTTATTGCAGCGATTACCAATTCTAGATTAGATTTGAGAGGAGATTTATATGATCTTTATTGTAGGATTCCATGGTCTAAAAGCTATGATGCTATTATGGTGATTGTTGATCATCTGTTAGGATACAAAGATAAGAGAGATGAATATGAAAGAATTTGATGAATCTTTATTATAGAATCAAAAAAAGACTTAGGATGTTTTACACACAATGCCCAGAGCTCTCAGCTCCTACCAGAGATTGAATCTCCCTTAATCACACTATTATTTCTTCCCCCCTTTTCTGATATCTTCCCTCCCCATTTATACTTGCTAATAACGATTGATCCCTTTTTTCCTTGCATATACTTGCCATATTTTGGGCTTAGCTGGGCCTTCATTGAACAACTGTTCCTGCTGATTATCTTCTATATTTTCTGATCTAACATCATCTTTCGAAGTATGCACATTTTATACCACTTAAGCACCCATACTCTGAAGAGTATTGCAATGGTCTTTGTGCAAGAATTTGTGAGACTTCATGATTTTCCCTTATCCATTCTGAGTGATAGGAATCCCATTTTTGTGTGTTTTTTGGTGGGAACTCTTATGTTTCAGGGTACAGCTCTTAAAATGAGCACAGCCTATCATCCTGAATCTGGTGGTCAACTGGAGGCTGTCAACTGCTGTTTGGAGTCTTACTTGTGTTACTTTGCTTCGGACAGCCTAGGACTTGGTTCTTGAGGTTGCCTTGGGATGAATTGTGGTATAATACCACATTCCCTGTATGTACTGACTCTTCTCCTTTTGAGACACTGTATGGCCGCAAACCTCTGACAGTGGTAAGGTATTTGGAAGGAGAAACAAATCTTAGAGAGCTTAAAGACAGATCTTTGAAGCAACTGAAATTTAATCTCAGCAAGGCATAAGAACAAATGAATAGACATGCAGATAAACATAGGAAGGATGTCACTTTTGAGGTTGGTGATTGGGTGTTCCTTAAACTTCAGCCACATAAACAAACTTTGGTGTTCTCTCGAATTTGGTCAAAATTTCCCCCTCATTATTATGGCCCTTTTCAAATCCTTGAGCAAGTAGGAGCAGTAGCTGATAAGATCCATTTACCTCCTACTTCTCAGATCCACCCAGTAGTACATGTTTCATTATTCGGCTGCACCTAATCTGCTTGTAGATATGGAGGTAGAAAATGTTACATAACCGGAAAAGGTTTGGGCTGTGAGGAGCAAGTTGGAGGAAGGTATCTTGTCTAAAGAATATTTGATTCAGTGGGAAGGATTGACTGCTAAAGATGTAGTGCTCTTGTGTCACCATAAACACCCATGGTTAAAAAGTTCTGACAATTAACGATGTGAAGGACTGTATGCAATCTAGAAATCTAAAGAGGAGAGTTTCTTGTTCTTAGGTAGATGATGCAAGTTTGACGGTTTAACAATGTCAAGGACTGTATACAGTCTAAAGAACTGAAGAGAATGATCTCTAGTTTTAATGTAGATGATGCAAATGCAAAAACATGGAAAGAGAAAATAGTAGCAAGATGAAATATTTTTACTGTAAGGAGAGTTGTTCTTGGTTGCTGATGTTTTGGAAGAATTCAAGTCAAGGAGGAGAATTGTTGAGATGTCTTGAGTTTGTGCATAACCCTGTTATTCTATTATCTCTTGAAGTTCAGCCATTATTGATTTAATGGGTTGTAATGGAGAGTTATGAATTATTATAGTGATTTATAAGTTATTATGTACATGAGCTTTAAAAGTTAAAAAGACATATTTCTCTTATACAGCAGAAGGTAGTAATGTATACACAATATCATATTGATAGCTGAAAAAGCATAATTATCTATGAAGTCTGTGATATATGGCTAACAACAAGAGCCACTAATAGGATTTAGATAACAGGATTCTTAGTCATAAGCTAATTCTTAGATTGTACACCTGAGTCAGCCTGGACACATGTTGACTCAAATCTGGGTGAGGGTGAGGATTGGTTAATTGTAGAAACCAACAACGCAGTCTACTGCTGGAATTTATATTCCACATCTGTAAAAGTTTCAGGCAAATTGAGAGAAACGAGTAGACAATGGATATTTAGAGTAAAGCTGTCAACATGGGTTAACGTTCTAGTTTATTGACAGGAAGTGTTGCTTTTCCATATAGTCTGTTTTCTTTGTGGACTGTCACTATCACCATATTGTAGACAACTGTAAGACGGAAGAGAGCATTCTGAACTGAAGAAATTGAAAATTTATAAAAAATCTGTAAACACCTATCACAATGTTTTGTCCGCCCTTGCAAAATTACTTGTGTAATAGCTTAAGTGACCCAAGGTATCGCCCATAGGTTCTTACAGAAGAATATCAGAGGCTTCTTCTTGATGTTTTGTAAATTGTCGTACCTCTTTTGTTAACATGGTTAGATACTCAGATTCTTGTTATCTAAGGGAATTTCATTGGCTTAATGCTATGGTGATGTTCTCATTGACCAATTGTGAAGTGGCATCTTCAAAATTACTGTTATTTTCAAAATTTCCAGGTCTATCGGGCCTTTTCCTGCTGGTGTTATTCTTCATTCTTACCTAGGTTCTGCAGAGATGGTTCCTGAATTTTCCAAGCTTGGTGCTTATTTTTCCTTCTCTGGGTTTCTTATGTCACTAAAAGAAAATAAGGCAAAGAAAATGTTGAAGAAGGTGATTTTTGTCACTTCTGATATATTATTAACATTAAATGTAATTTAATATTATATAAGTTAAAACAGTGACATTCTCATTTTTGCATTTAGGTCTCTTCTGATAGGATTTTGTTGGAGACAGATGCACCTGATGCACTACCAACATCAAGCATAGATTCTCTTTATTTTGTTGAAGGAGATATTTCTCTTCCTGAAGAGCTTCATGGCCGAAGAACAACTTCATCCTCAACTTCTGGTTCTTCCCTTGATAACTCATCCCATGTTCTGACAGATGCATCGATGCTGCCAAAGGAAACGCTCAATCATCCAGCAAACATTCATAATGTATGCATCTCAAAAATAAGCATATCTTATTATATGATTCCCTTGGAGTTATATGTTAATCTTTTTAATTAGAGAATACTAAAGTGTCCTAGAATGAGTTTGCTTCTTGAAAATAATAATAATTAATTTATCTGGTAATTATAATGCTTGAATAAATCATGCTGAATCCTGTCTCTCGTTCCTTTTCTCTCTCAAGTCTCAACATTATAATTATGTGTTGTAAATTTAAATTAATGTTTTCAATAATAGTCAAGATCCATTAACACCAGGTGTCAAATTTGGTCACTTATAATACTTAATAACTTTTTATAGAATGTAAGATTAATCAATTCAACTGTAGGTTTGAAGGTTCTTATTAAATAAATCTTTATAAAATTTCATACAAAAACAAAATTAATCAATATTTCATCACATTACTTTATTTTAATGAGTGTTATTTTTTTAAAATATAAGTAATAAATTTTGGATAACATATCTACAAATGTTCAAATTAAGTAAAATTTAATATCCATGATCATGATCATGAAGATAATATAAGATGATTCAGCGGTTGAATTGATCAATCTTGTATTCTATGAAAAGTTATTAAATGGTGTAAGTGTTTAAGTTTGATACCCGGTGTCAACGAATCCTAACTCTTTCAATAAATAAATGTATCTTATTAATGAAGTAGAAGAAATAAATATGTATAGGTATGGTTTAATTATTATACAATTATGGCATTTCAAGTTGTGCTTTTACCTTGGAGTTGCTAAATGACACCTCTTCATCCTTGTCTCTCTCATTGTAGAGTTAGCCACTGTGCAAGTAACTTGGTCTGGTAGTTTTGTTGGTAGAAGCTTATTTGACATGCATAAGACCCAAGCTCTGCCACCTTTGATGATCCACCCACTCTTGTGGCCAAATGGCTCTGGTAGTGGTGGGTTAAATTGGCTGAGAACCAAACCTCCAAGGCTGTTAGGCATTCCATTCCTTTCTTTTTCACCTTCATGCTATTCATAGGGAGAGTTTCATTCTCCACTTTCAACTTTGTCTTGTTATCCAGTCTTCTAGCTTCATTTTATGTGTATCTTGCGCTATAATTTCCACCTCCTCCATTTGTGGGTCAATGCTCTTTTCATACTCAGATTCTGATTCACCTTGATTTGCTTCTTTTTCACTCTTGTATTTCATTTTTGTAGCTTCCTTTGTTGTCATTTCCTGGTTTTTGGTCTAAAGATTCCTTGCTTCCACTTTCTATTTTGTTTTCTTGAACCCAAGAACCTTCATCTTTTGTTTTGTTTTCTTGTTCATCATCATCTTGGATCCAAATCACCGACTCCGGGTTATACCCCAGCTGGAACTCTTGAGCAAAGCCTTCATGATATCCCACCATGATGCACTTGAATGATCCTTTTTCCGCATAAATCACTGTAGACTTGAGAGAGAGAGAGAGAGAGTGTGACAGATTAGTATGCTGTAATTGGATACTCTATAATGTGTAGAGACCCTTATATTTATAAGGATACATATGTAATCCTACTGGGTCAAGTCCGTTATTATAATACTAACATAAACTCTAATTCTAATACGTCTATTATAGGTTGGAGCATAGATATTAATCATGCTTAGCTTGTTACAAATATAATTGCTACGTGTCCTATTTAAAGCCTTTGTAAACACATCTGCTAGTTGATTGCTTGTCCTAACATGAGAGATGGATATAAGCTTCTGCTAAACTTTTTCTTGAATAAAGTAATAGTTTATGTCAATATGTTTCATCCGTTCATGAAAAATTGGATTTGAGGCAATGTGTATCGTTACCTGGTTATCACACCAAAGTTGCAGAGGCTTAGTGCTAGCAAATTCTATCTCTTCCAACATATATTTCAATCACATTAACTCATAAGTAGTCTGAGTCATCGCCCTGTATTTTGATTCCGCACTCAATCTCGATACAATTTTCTACTTCTTATTTTTTCATGAAATTAAATTACCTTTCAAAAACATACAATAACCGGTAGTAGATTTTCTGTCTATAGATCCTGCCTAATCAGCATTAGAAAACACCTCTATATATGCATGTCCATGATCTTTGTACACAATTTTTTTTCCTGGTGCTTTCTTCAAATACTTCACAATGCGGATTAGTGCTTCCCAATGAGTATCCGTCAGAGATGACATAAACTAGCTAACAACACTTACTAGAAAAATAATGTCCGGCCTTGTGACAGTCAAGTAATTTAGCTTGCCTACTAATCTTCTGTATTTCTATGGATCTGCAAAAGGAACTCCATCTGCTGTCATTTTGACTCCTAGCTCCATAGGTGTCTCGCATAGTTTAGCTCCTTTTAGTTCGGTCTCAATTGATAAGTCTAAGACATTTTCTTTGTAAAAGGAAGATTCCTTGCTTGGAGTACACTACTTCAATACCCAAGAAGTATTTCATAATTCCTAAGTCTTTTGTCTAAAACTTGGTTTGAAGAAATTTCTTTAGGTTGCTAATTCCTTCTTTGTCGCTATCTGTAATAACAATATCATCAACATAAACAACAAGTAAAATACAACTACGTTTAGTCTGTTTGTAAAACACTGTATGATCACTCTCACTCCTCACTAATCTAAATTCCAGAATCACGTCACTGAATCTCCCAAATCATGCTCTAGGTGATTGTTTCACGCCATATAATGACTTCTTTAAATGATACACTCTTTTACACTCCTCCTGAGCAACAAAGTTAGATGGTTGCTCGATGTACACCTTCTCCTATAAGTATCCATGTAAGAATGCATTTTTGACATCTAACTGGAATAATGGCCAATGATGCATAGTCGCAAGAGAGATGAAGATAGGAACAGATGAGAGTTTAGCAACCTGAGAAAATGTATCAGTGTAGTCAACATCATAAGTTTGGGCATACTTTTTTGCAATAAGTCGTGCCTTCAAACGAGCCATGGAGCCATCCGGATTAACTTTCACAGTGTAAACCCACTTGCAACCAATAGCATATTTTTCCTTGGGAAGAGGAACCAAATTCTAAATATCATTCGTCTTAAGAGCCAACGTTTCTTCCTCCATAGCATGTCTCCAACCATTATGACTGAGGGCATTTGCAAGGGTCTTAGGAAATAGAAAGAGAGTCTAGACCAGCCATGATGGATTTAGATGTAGAGGATAAATGAGTAGACGTCACATAAGATGAAATAGGATAGGTGCAAGATCTCTTACCTTTATGGATAGCAATAGGAAGGTCAAGGTCAAACATAGGATCTGTTGACACTTGAAGAGATAGTGGTAGAGTTGAGTATCATCTTGAATATCATTAGCCATGGGATGCACATCATCTGAAGGCTGTTTCAGTTGGCGAGAGGATGTCAAATTAAAAGAACTTGAAACTTGTATCAATAGGAGTTAGGAGTGCGACAAGATGTGTAGATTGGACAAGAGTATAAGTCAAGAAAGATTCATCTACCTCATACATGGACTCAGAAGATGAGGACTTAAAGAATGGAAGACTTTCAAATAAAGATACATTAGAGGAAATATGATAACGACTAAGATTAGGAACAAAACAACGGTAACTTTTTTGTAACTGAGAATAACCCAAAAACACACATTTTAGGGACTAGTTCTACCACCACTGTGACCACCACGATGACCGTATTGGGCTACCAAGGCAGAGTGGTCAGGAGACTCATTTTCTGTAGTGCTCTTGAGTTCTTCAAAGGAAGACTGCATAACTTTGGAGAAGACATCGGTAAGATTATCAACTTGCTTACTTGACATAATCTGAGACCGAACTACCTCATTGTGGATAAAATCTGTAGAGCTAACTCAAAGCCATAAGTTTCTTTTGTTATGTTATCATCTCGTCAATGGTTTTACAGGCTAAAAGAGATTGTATCTCCTTAGTATGCTTAAATTCCAAAAAGTAGTCCATTAGCTTCCGCTTATTTTGTTTGGGTTGATAAATTTCCTACAAGAGAGCATACAATCGATTCAAATTATCAGAATTTCCAAAAATAAATTACAAGAAGTCCCACAACTCCTTCGCGGGTTTGCAATGGGTAATAATCGCTTGTATTTGCCTATCAACAGAGTTTACTAGCAACACAAGGATCTTTTTGTCATATATTGCCCATGTGTCAACATCCTTACGATTGACAGGTGCCGTTTTAGTCAAATGATTATCCTTTTCCATTCCACCCGGGCTAATCTCAACCAAATACTTCCACTCCATATAGTTCATAGTGTCTCCATCCAGCTTAAACATCGGTAAGTTTGGATAGAGATACAATTTCCGTAACAGCCCCCTTGTGCTGCGCATCCTGGCTATCACGTTCAGACATTGTAGATCCACAAACAGTGATTGAATTGCCTGGGTTCGTCTCAATGGCTAAAAAGAAATGCCGCACTCAAACTGTAAACGTCGAATTACTGCATGTTCTGGTCACCGGAAAAAACTTTCATCCCCACAACAGTTGTGATTTCTGAAGCTGTTTTTTTTTTTTCGGCGGTGGTGGCGGCAGCGACAGCGACGACAAAGGAAGAACCCTAGAAGGCTCTGGATATCATATAGAATTAAGAGAGAGAGAGAGCATAGAGAGAGAGATAGATTAGTGTGCTGAAATTGAATAATCTACAATGTGTAGAGACTCTTATATTTATAAGGATACATATGTAACCCTATTGGGCTAAGCCCGTTATTATAATACTAATATAAATCCTAATCCTAATACTTTTATTATAACTATTTATAACAATCACCAAACAATCACCTGGGGGACATTCATTCAGACACTTGGAATTTTGCTAGGAGAGATTAGACTCTTGAATTCCCGAAGGATGATATATAACCATTCTTTTCCTTTGTGTGGGGTACCAAATCCCTAACTCAGAGGTTCAACAACAATAATAATACACGGTTCTTTTTTTTATTATGTTTTCTGTTCTTCTTTCTTTGGTCCGATTCTATCACCTTCCTGCGTGCATATCTCTAAATACACACACAAATATATCT